AAGAAGGCGTCTGTCGCCATTGCAGTGTGTGTCCGATCGAGATCCAGGACCCCGCCCCCACAGTACGGCGCTAGCGAAAGCGCGGCCTGCTTTAAGGCCGCGGGACGTGCCAGCCGCGAAGCGGTCCGAAGCGGGCCCTCAGGAGAAGATGATGATGATGGCGGCAGCGGTGCAGCCCCCCCCCATTTTGCTGCTGCGCTGGCCGCATGCTCCTCCCGCCGGCGTTGACCCGCCGGGCGGGTCCCTCCTTCCGCCACGCGAAGCGGGCCTCGCCGCCGGTGCCGTTGGACACCGAGGCAAAGCCCAGGGTGGGCGGGCAAAAGAGGGCCCATTTGGGCCCTGGGAGGGCTTTGAGCCCCGAAGGCTTGAGCGGGAAAGAGGGAAAGAGAAGGGCAGGCAGAGGCAGGAGCAGGGAGAGGAGAAAACCCAAGCGACCGGGGAGGGCGGGGTCCAACCGTTTAGGACAAACAACTAAGACCCCGCCCCCGCAGTACGGCGCTAGCGAAAGCGCGGCCTGCTGTAAGGCCGCGGGACGCGCCAGCCGCGAAGCGGTCCGAAGCGGGCCCTCAGGAGAAGATGATGATGATGGCGGCAGCGGTGCAGCCCCCCCCATTTTGCTGCTGCGCTGGCCGCATGCTCCTCCCGCCGGCGTTGACCCGCCGGGCGGGCCCCTCCTTCCGCCACGCGAAGCGGGCCTCGCCGCCTTTGTTCTAATGATACTGGTGCTGCTGCCAGTGACCCTGCGCACTGGCCGCCTGGCGGATTCTACGCGCCGGCGTGCTGTGTGGGCGCCCTGATGGGCGTCACCAAAACTGGGTGCCAGGCACTGTGCTGCCGGCGCCGTCTAGGCACTGAGTCACGCATCGCCTGGCGCGTGCGCCGGCGTGCGTGCGGGGCCCCACTGGCCCTCCTGTCTGCCGACTGCCGCCAGGCAACTGATGCCGGCGCGCGCGGCTGTCCTCCGCGAGGTTAAGCCTTGGGCTCGCGCCGGTGCCTTGATTGCCGGCGGAGCCCGACCTCGGGCTGAGGCCCGAAGATGTCGTCGCTGGCGCTCGGCACGGGCCGGCGCTTGGCATCCCCGTCCGCGCCGCGGCCTCCAGATCCCCCGGCTCCCCGCCTCTCCACAGGTGCCCAAGGTGCACAGGGCGGGCAGGGTCCGGCCCCTGACAGAGGGGGTTCCCCGGGCCGGCGCTGGGGCGCGGGCCCGTGCATGCGCGTGAATTCTGGTGCTGCGGTCACACTGGGCCATCAGATTGCCAGCTGCTGTATCTCAAGCTGACGACAGTATGCCCGGCACGACCAGGCTTGGCATAGAGAGCCGGCGTGCCAGGCAGGTTCCAGCATGGTCCTCGTCCAATGGTTGCAAGGGGACCCGCAGTATCCCAGGCGCTAGTGGGGCCCTGACGGACGAGCCTGTGCGCATGCGTCTGCCTTGAGGTATTAGCCAGTGCCGAAGGCACGGGTGGGTGTGCTCTGCGAGCGCGCGGCTGCTCGCCGGCGGTGCAGGTGGCTGGTGGCTGCACCCAAGCGCGCGCGGCGGGAAGGCCGGCGGCTTGGGCTGGGCGCGCGCCAGGTGTGGAAGCACCGGCGGCGCCCGCTGCGGCCCCTCATGGGCTCTCACGCCTGGCGCTCTCGGCGCCGGCGGCAGCTCTGCTGGGGGCGCTGTCCTTCGCCGGGTTGGTCAGCGAGGAGGTGTCCCTGGCCATCTTGCCGGAGATGCCCTTCATCGGCTCGTGCGACTCCCACAGGTAGCCGTGGAGCGCGTCCGACTGCCAGCGCCCGAATCGGCGCGCCCGGGAGAGGTCCTCGGTCACGTGGTACATCGCAGTCGCCCCGCCGATCCTCAGGGAATGGCTGCCGATTTCCTCTCTAGAGAGGCCGGCGGCCAGCCCCGCGACCGTCAGGAAGTGCTGCGCCTCTGCCCTACGGATCGGTGTGCCCAGAGGGTAAACCATGCACATTTTATGCGTTATTGATTTCCAATGAAAAAATGAATGATTTCATGCCGTGCTTTTTTTTTGTTTTTTTTTTTTTTTTTGCGCCGCTGCTTTTTTAAAAAAATGAATGGGCACGCCGCAGAAAAATGCATGAACGCGCGGCAAAATTTTGCACGGTTGCACGCAGACGATGGCGATGGAAATATGAACGACTTCCCGTGTCTAACGCGCGACCCAACGCTGCGAGAAAACATCCATGGCCTCACTCGCCTGATCTCTCGCTTGGCACTCTCGTGGCGAAGGGGCGCGCGTGTTCATTTAAGCGTTGCTTTGCGGGTGCGCTGCTGGGGCTTTGCGGGAATTTTGCAGGGATTACGTTGGGTCTTTGCAGGGACTTTGCGGGGACTTTGCGGGGGCCTTGCAGGGACTTTGCAGGGACTTTGCAGGGGCTTTGCAGGGGCTTTGCAGGGACTTTGCGGGGGCCTTGCAGAGACTTTGCGGGGGCTCTGCAGGGGCTTGGCGTGGACCTTGCAGGGACTTTGCGGGGACCTTGCAGGGACTTTGCAGGGACTTTGCAGGGACTTTGCAGGGACTTTGCAGGGACTTTGCGGGGACCTTGCAGGGACTTTGCGGGGACTTTGTGGGGACCTTGCGGGGACTTTGCGGGGACTTTTTTGAGCTTTGCAAAGACTTTGCGGGGACCTTGCAGGGACTTTGCGGAGACTTTGCAGGGGCTTTGCAGGGACTTTGCAGGGACTTTGCGGGGGCCTTGCAGGGACTTTGCGGGGGCTTTGCGGGGACCTTGCGGGGACTTTGCGGTGGCTTTTTTGAGCTTTGCAGGGGCGTTGCAGGGACTTTGCAGGGACCTTGCAAGGACTTTGCGGGGACTTTGTGGGGACCTTGCGGGGACTTTGCGGGGAATTTGCAGGGGTATTTTCACGGACCTTATAGGGACCTTGCAGGGGCTTTGCGGGGATTTTGTGGGGACCTTGCGGGGACGTTGCGGGGACTTTGCGGAGGTTTTGCATGGTTTTTTACAGGAATGTTGCAAGGGCTTTGCGGGGGCTGTGCGAAAGCTGGGCCGACCTCCCCGGCATGCAAATGTGGATTCGCTGCGTTGCTGTTTCCGCGGGCGTTTTTGGGGCAAGATGTCATCTCCCGCGGGGCAGCAGCCCTCTCCGCTCCTCCTCCAACTCATCCTTCCACCCACTCCTCATATTCCTCCTCATCCCTCTCCTCTTTCTGTGGCCCTGCGCTGACCATCGTAGGCCCCCGCCCGCCCGCAGGGGCCTCGCAGGAAACCGGCGGCGTCCAACCCTGCCGAGCTGCATGAGTTTGGCTACGAGCGGGAGCAACAACGTGCTTGGCGCAAGGCCAAGTCGGCGAACAAAACAGACCCCCGCGATTACGCCGAGAGCACGCACGCACCTGATGAGCAACCAACGTCCTACATGGTAGCGACATGGAACGACGGCATGACGAGACAATTGACAGAGGATGTAAAGGGACAAACCTCACCGTCACCTCCTTCAGATCTGCCTCCTGGTATCTCCCGCCTCCTCCTCTGCCTCCTCCTCTTCTCCCTCCTCATCCAGATCCTCGTCCTCCACCTCCTTGTGGGAGAGGGGCCATGCGTGACCCTAGAGATCTGACAGGCCGCATCTAATAAGCCTTGCTGCCCCTGCCCATGCCCTGGGGGAGCCACGGATTCATGTTTCCCCGATCCCTCAGGTTACAGTGGGCGCGTGGACCCGCGGCCAACCTGCTCCAGCCATGAAGGGCCCTTCAAAGAAGGTCTCCAGATTCTTCAAGGATGAGGAGAAACAGATATGGACTTGCGCGAGATGGGACGCCCCGAAAGGGAAACCAAAACAACGGCTCATTTGTTTAAAAGACAGCACTGGGCATCTCTTTCACGTGGACGTCGTCTGGTTCCCAGAAGGATCAGAGGACACAGCTATCGATTTCATGAACCAGGTCGCCCGAGACTACGCTTCTGGGAATTGCACCCGAGAGGAGGCCATAGAAAAGAAGATAACAGTTGCCCCAGTCAGGACCACAGTGAGTAAGAAGAGGCCTGCGGCCGTTGCTAGCCCCACCCCTGGTAATTCACAGGCAGCTGCAGCTGCTGACAGCGCCTCTGCTAGCGCTAGCGCCCCAGCTGTTTCTCTTATGAAGCGGCCTGCTGCAGCCGAGAAGGGGGCTGCTGCCCCCTCGCCCAAGAAGAGGGCTGCTGCTGCAGCCGAGTTTCACACCCCCTCGCCCAGGAAGAGGGCTCCTGCCGAGAAGCCCAGAATCGCTCCGCCGAGTGGCAGCATGTTTGATGACATTTGATTGGCCAAGCTTGGATCTCGAGCTCGTCGAAACCATCAAAAACACAATGAAAAGTAAAGGTGGTCCGATCTCCAGGTGCGAGCACGTAGGAAGGCAGCAACGCACCTAAACACAAACACCAACAGCAGCAACAACAATAGCAATGACAGTTCCAATGGCGATGACACCAAAGACACTAACGCAAGCAAGAGCAGCAGCAATAACATCCGAAACAACAAAACAATATCAATAATATGAGCCCCGTGCCTCGAAGAGGTCTCCTGGGTCCGCAACCTGACCTCCTGCCCCCCCCCCCCCCTGTTTCATCCGAGCGAGGGCCCCGGGATTCCGACCCTGAGACTTCCGTAGTGCAGTTGGCTACAAGATCCACGACTTATGTCTCTCGCCGACGGTGTCGGCCGCATGGAACAGAACCAGGACGCCCTTCGGAAGAGGTCCGCATGGGCGGGCAGCCTCGGCTGGTCTGGGGCGTCTGGCGCAGGATCGGCCCCCCACGTCGTCAACTCCGACTCAGACGACGATATTCCACCCACCCAGGATGACCTAGGAACAAAAAACCGTCACCCCAGAAAAGGATATTAAAGAGGGGGAGGAGGAAAAGGAGGAGGATGAGGAGGAGGAGACGGAGGATGAGGAGGAGGAGAAGGCGGAGGAGGAGAAGGAGGAGGAGGAGGAGAAGACGGGACCAGCTTTGCGCAAGTGATTTTTTTCAGGGGGGGGAGAAGGGGGATGGCCAAGGAAGGCCTTGCGCAAGTGCCCCCCTCAAAGGGCGCAGGGTTCTCCCGCCAGCAGCTGCTCAAGATGGGCGTGCCCGAGAGGGCGCTGGAGGGCGAGGACCGCGCACCTCCACCATTATCCCTTATCCCCCAGACCTTCTCCGTCTCACCTCCTCCCCTTTCGTTTTTTCTCCTATACAGGAAGCGTTCTATTTCAGCGACGCGCAGATCAAGGAGTTGATGAAGGGCAGCGGCGCCAATGATGCGGACTCGGAGGCCGCGCGCTCACGGCGAGGAGGACGCCCTGCCCGCAGCATCACCGATTGCCCTGACTCATCGGATGACGAGGGTGCCAGCCAGGCGCCGCGCATCGGGACGCAGCCCGATCGCCGTGCCGATCATGGGCAGCCCCCTGTCGAGCAGCAGGACGCCAGCCGCCGCGAGTTCGAGCCCGACGAGTCGCAGCCGCGTGACAGGTGCCCTGATTGGTCGGAGGAGAGCCCTCGCAGCGGGTTGTCGGCTTGCGTGGGCGTGGACGCAAAGGGATATCGCATGTTTGCCACAATTGAGACCGCTGGCTCGATGATGCCCGATGAGGTGGGCTACCTGGCGACGTGGTACAGGCCGAAGGGGTGCTTCGTCAAGGTCATGCACCCGCGCGCGTGGATGACCGTGGACCCCGACACCTCCCCTGCCGCAGCGGCGCCTGCCGCAGCGGGTGCCGCACTGGCGCCCCCTGCCGCTGCGGCGTCTGCAGCAGCGGCGCCTGCCGCAGCGGCGCCTGCCAGCCGCGCCCGTGGCGGCCCAGCACCGTGCGAGGAGATTATCTCTCAGGGGGCAGCGAGACTCGAGGAGGAGATTCAAGCAGTGAACATGGGGCGAGTCAGCCGACGCTGCGAGCTTGGAGAACATGCTTCTACAGATGATGGACCAGGAGATCAGCGGAGTCGACGAGGCCGACGACGATGACGACAGGGACGAGAGGGATGACAAGAAGGACACCGCTCTCAAGGTCGACTCAGTCTTGGAGGCTTGCAGAGACGCGGGCTTCCAGTTCAAAGCCAAATCCCCGCTGTGCAAGAGGTACGAACGGTACCTTGAAGCAAACCCAGCTGAGTATGACAAATACAACAAATCCAACAGGAAGGATAAAGGAGTCATGCGCTCCCAGTGGGCTGAAGACGAGTACAATGATTACAGCAAGTGGCGGGCCAAATCCAACAAGTACAGGAACGCCGACCGCGTCCTCGGCAGGCTCATGAATTTGGACCAGCTCATTGTTGCAGAAGGGGGTCACTGCAGCAAAACAGCAGTCCAGGGAGCTCTGGAGACGGCGAGATGGTGCATCAAGAGAGGCGCCCCATACATCAAGCTGAACAAGCGCAGCAAACGGATGATGTTCCGTCACATCACCGAGGAGAACGACGAGCAGAATACGACGGAGTGGAAGAGTGTCGAGGAGGAGAGGGGCCACAGGAGGGACAGAGCTGAGGCGACGAATGCACTTGAGACGCCTGCCAAGCGCCCCAGGCTCGACGGCGCTTCGGCAGGCGCTGCAGCCAGCGGCAGCGAGCCCAAGGGAGAGACCCCCGAGCCCGCGACTGAGCCGCCCGCCACCCCTACTGGCCAGCCCTCGGGGAAGGCGACTGGCAAGGGCAAGGGGAAGGAGGGCAAGGGGAAGGGCAAGGCGAAGGCGAAGGCGAAGTCGAGGGCGGCCCAGGGCAACTCCCCGAACAAGGATTTCGAGAAGGAGGCCAAGGTGATCCTCCAGGAGTACAGGACCTGCCTGTTCCAGGGGCGGGAGATCCTCAGCGAGATGGATCGCGAGGACGAGAAGAAGGGCTGGGCCATGATGAAGCCGTTCTCTGACGGCCTCGATCTGGCCATCACCGCGGCCGCAGAGGCAGCTTCTGCTCCTCGCATCCCCCTCTTCCTTCTGACCCTCTTCCTCCACCCCCTCCTCCTCCTCCTCCTCATCATCATCATCATCATCCTTTCCTCCTCCTCCTCCTCCTCCCCCTCCTCCTCCTCCTCATCCCCCTCCTCCTCTTCCTCCTCTTGGAGCCCTCTGAGGGCCCCGGACGAGCCCCCCTGAGAGCACCCAGAGAGCCCCAAGTGACTGAGAAATTTGCTCAACCCCTTCGGCCCCTCTTCAAGGCGCCCTGGGGCACTCTTGGGCCCTCGTGGGACCTTGAAGGCCCACAGATGGCCATGGCAGTTTTGAACTACAAACCCTCCCATGCCACAGGCCGCAGGCAAGATCCCGCTGTTCGATCGCATCCTCACCGAGGGCTTCCAGGAGGTGAAAGGCCAGGTCAGCGAGCAGGAGTGGTCCCAGGGGATGAAGGATATCGCTGCGTTCAAGCCGACAGTCGCGGAGGTTTACAACGAGAGCCAACGTATGTTAGACCTGCACAAGAAGGCCCTGCCCAAGAAATCGGCCTCGGGCGCTTGAGATTTTCCTTAAGAAGATACGCGCCCCCATCGGATTTGATTTCCAGGGGCCCTGAAACAAAGCGCATCGGGGGGTGAGAACTCCATGGGATGTTTCTGCATATCAGAAGTGTTGATCGATGGGGGTGCTATCGACCTGTATCTCGATCCTTGCATGTGAAGACTTGGGGTGTAGTGTGCTGCATGCGCTGACCCGCTACCGCGGCGATATGCGAACTTAGTTACGAGAGAATTCAGAAGTGATCTCGTTTCTTGCTCTGTGCGCGAAAAACTCACCCAAGCCTGAGGCGAATGTTTGGATTCGGATATGCTGAAAATGTCCTTTTTCTCGAAAGATAACTTCGGCTGCCCCAAGATTGCACCCTGTTCTCTAGAAAACTACACGAGCAAATGCAAAACAAACGCTGGGATTTGCCGGGGACTTTCCGGGGACTTTCCGGGTACTTACCGGGGACTTTCCAGGGGCTCCGGCTCCAAACCCTGTGTTTTTACCGGGTGTGCGGGCGGGGGCTTCGCGGGGACTTCGCGGGGACTTTGCGGGGACTTTGGGGGGGAGCAATTTTTAAGATCGGAGAGCTTCGGAATCAGGACCCCACGCGCTCTCGCCAGGCGCTCGCGGGCGCGCGGAGCCGCTTGGGCGACCTGCGAAGGCGCGGGGGGGCCCGACTCCAAGCTGATTTGGTCGACCCTCGAAGGGCTCCAGCCCTCTTCCATGCCCATCCCTCCTCCTCGATCTCGCCTCGTTTCGCCCCCTGGGGTTGAATGGCCACGGGCGTGCAGCAGCCGTCAGCCAAGGCGAGGCCAAGCCGCTTTCGCTTGGAGCTCGCAGCAGTGATCCCGACTTGCCCCCGTCGCACAATGATCTCATCTCTCTGATTGCAGGTGCGAGCAAGGTGTGGGGGCATTTAACGAATCGAGTCGACTTGATACCGCCGTGCGAATTCAAGGCCATCTTGACGGCTTGTGGGTAGAATGATGACAAATAGGATGAGGGGAAAGAGAAGGAGGAGTAAGAGGACAAATGCGAGCCGTCTCGAGGCCCTCTGGAGCCGTCTTGGGGCCCTCTTGGAGCCCCTAGAGGAGTCCCAAGAGGGTTGCAAAAAATACCCCCCGCAGGAGTCCACGGGGGTGCTTTCTGGGAGTTATCTTTGCCCCCCCCCAACCCAGAGGGCCCCAGCAGATCCCGAGGAGATGCCGAGGAGGACCCAAAAAGATCCCAAGAGGTATCCAATTGGCGCTCTGTGAAACTTTGTGAGACGGAGCTTGAAATCAAACCTGCTTGCGCCGTCTTGAGGCAATCTTGGAGACGGCCCGTGGCGGGCCCCTACGCCACGAGAGGTCAAAAGGGTCCCAGGAGGGTCACACATGATCCTATGGGTACCTCCAGAAATCATCCGTGAGACCCTGGTCAAACTCCTTTCCCCCGCACTTCCCTGCCCATCCCCTCCATTCTCGATTGCCTCCTCCTCCCCCGCAGCTTTTTTTTTGCAAGAGACCAGACACTCACTTGACACGCCCGAATGGCACCTAAGAAGCGAGCCCGCAGCCCTACCCCCATAAGGGAATTTCCAGATGATGGCGACCCCGACGACCAACCAGACCCCGAGAGAGAAATGGCAGCATCAGAATTGGAGAACCATTTGATGCAGCTGTACGCGCGAAGCGTCATTGACGCGAAAACGCTATGCATCACGGCATATTGGGCCAGCAAGGCTGGTGCAGAGGGAGATAAGTTATCCCTCATGGGCAAGGCTCCAGGCTTCAGTTCTGGGAACTACAAGAAACATTTGGATAAAGTCTTGCCCGCATCTTCGGTAGAATTGTGCACTGTTACCCTTCTCCTTCGATATGGTGGCGTCAGAGTATCGCGTGGAGTTCTAGTGGCGCCACCGCATGAGCTCATGGCATCTGAGTACGAAGCGGAGTTGGAACCGTTTGGGGATGTAGATGATCCAGCATGGTCTAGCACATTCGAGGAGCATCCACATCGCCGCGTAGAGGGCGACCGCAGGGATGTGATTCCGATTGCCCCTTACGTGGACGGCATTCGGTTTACGAGGACTGTTCTCGTTGGACATCAGGATTCCGTCATTGGGTTCTTTTGCTATTCTCTCAAGAGCAACCGCCGCCACTTGCTTGCAGTTGTTTCAAAAAAGGAAATGTGCAAGTGTGGTTGCCGCGGACACTGCGCCATGTACCCTCTCTTCTTGTTTTTTAAGCACTCATTCTCTCTAGCCGCAGTTGGCCGTCGGTCTGAGCGCCAGTTTAACGACGCCCCATGGGGAGATAACAGCAAGTATAGTGATCGCACGGTCGGCGGCTCTGCCCGCCAGATTTCTCTTGGCCCAGATCAAGGGGGATTGGTCCGAGTTCTGCACTACATTTGGCTTCAGCGCATGGCAGTCGCATACCCGACCGTGCCTCTTCTGTTTGAGAAATAAAGAGAACCTTTACAACTTCGGCGACGTCGACATTGATAACGACGCGTGGGCATGCCGCCGTCGGGGTAATTATGAAGCAGACTGCGCCAGATGCGAAATGCGAGTGCGCATTGGCTCCCAAGAATGTGTGGATCTCATTACAATCAAAGGTGGGCTACGCTTTAGCAAGCGCAAGGATCAGGCTGGGCGGGCGCTTAATCACGACGCCCCAGAACTTCGCTTGCTCGCAGGCGATCGCTTGGACCCCCCCCCAGACCTTCTAGACATAGCTGCCTTTGAGGAGTTGGATTTGAGCACGCCTAAAGAAATCTCACATCGGTGCTCAGGAGGAACCCGTTGTTTTGCCCACAGGTGGGGGTCACACCAGAAAGATCGCTACATATTGATATTCTCCACACTTTAAATCTCGGGGTGTTTCAGCGGCACGTGTGCGCAGTGATTTGGGCAGCGATGAATTGCAACGTGTATCAATTCAGCGGCCCAGTCGAGACCGTTCGAGAACTTACGCTGTATCGTATCTTCTTGGACATGAAGCAATGGTTCACGGGCCAAGGCGTGCCCGTTGGCGAACGCCTCAACGAGCTCACAATGAAAATGATAGGGACGTCCGAATCTCCTGAGTTGAAAACAAAGGCGGCCGAGACTGGCCGCGTTCTACCATGGGCGGCAGATTATTTTTGGACGCCCGAAATGGATACCGAAATAATTAGTGGGTACTATGCCCAACAACAGTGCCTGTTCATTCTGAACAGGATCCGCTGTCCGCGCCGCCGCGGCCTGTGTCCATTTGAGACAGGAGGCCGCCCGCCCAACAGCGGCCGCTGTTGGTTTGGGACAACATTCGCTGTTGGGCATCGTACCCATTCTTTCGGCGCCCATGCCGGGCGTCCAAATTATTGCAGACGCTTCGCAACAGCACTCGCGCATGGCGACGAGTTACGCGTGGCAGGATACGCAATTTCACAGTACATGTCTATATTGAGAAGAGAGGGGCGCACGATCGCCCTGCCTGTTGGCAGAGAGCTGCCGCGTCTGTGTCTTCGCCACTTAGAGCTGCTTGCGATTTGCGAGCTCAAGCGCCACCCCAAAGGCAACCTTTTTGTACACCTCACGTGCCGCATCGCCGAGTGCGGCAACCCACGGGGGTACAGCACCTTTTTGGACGAGAGTTTAAATCGTTATCTCGCGGAGATCGCTGCACGCAGCCATCGGGCAACTTGGGAAAGGTCAATTTTTTGTAGAATGCATCTCCTCCCACATGTTGCACCGCATCTCGCTTTCGCACCTCTGTGATAAAAAATCGATTGTACCGTGCTCCCTTTGGTTGCAGTCTATGTGCGAAATCCGTTTGAGTTCCGACAGGCCGCCACAATCAGTAGCATTTGTGGTTGCAAGCCGCAATGTCTTCTGAGACTTCCAGCCGTCTCGATGGCCCTGTCCGACAGGGCCAGTCCCATCCAGAGTCGTGGACCACGCCTGCCATGTGGGTGGCACCGAACATACACAAGTACCAATTCCTCATCTTAAGTCCACGTTGCGGCTGCGACACAGCATTCTTGGCCATGGAGCAATTGAACATCCCTACGTGCAGCGCGTCTTGGGACACGAACTCGGACCTCGAGAATTTCTTGATCAGCATTCATGGCAAGCACAGTGGCATGCTGAACGTTGGCTCGGAGAAGGGCGACTTCACGCAGGCTAGGGGGAGGTTGAGCCGAGGGAGGGAAAGAGGAGAAGGAGGAGGAGGAATAGAGGAGGAGGAGGAGAAGATGAAAAGGAGAAGGAGGAGAAGAGGAGAAGAGGAAAAGGAGGAGGGGGTGAGGAAGAGGAGGAGGGGGGTGAGGCCCCAAGGAAGGGGAAGCGAGGCTGTCATCCCTCTTCCCCTCTTCGGTGCTGCTCCTGATGCTACACCGCGGGCTGAAGACCCCCCACTGCCTCTCCAGCTCTTCTTCCTGGGGGGGGGAGGTTGAGAAGGAGGCGAGGGAGGGAAAGAGGAGGATGAGGAGGAAGAGAGGAGGAGGAGGAGGAGAAGAGGAAAAGGATGAGGAGGAAAAGAGGAGAAGAGGAACCTAGGAGGGGGCGAGGAAGAGGAGGAGGGGGGTGAGGCCCCAAGGAAGGGGAGGCGAGGCTGTCCTCCTCCTTCCCCTCTTCGGTACTGCCCCTGATGCTGCGCCGCGGGCTGAAGACCCCCACTGCCTCTCCAGCTCTTCTTCCTGGCACTCCTGCTACCCCGCCTCCTCCACCTCCTCCACCTCCATTTTTGATCGCCCTCGAGGTCTACCTCGAGGAGTTGCCGTCGGCAGACTTTCTCTGCGCTGGACCGCCCTGCCCACCCTTTTCAAGGGGCGGTGCGAAAAAGTTGTGGGCGGACGATCGTGCCGCAGCATTCTGCCAAACACTTCTCTGTATCAAGGAGCAGTCATCGAGAACGCCGTCGAGACTGAGGGCGTTCGTCCTCGAGAACGTCGCAGGGATGCTGGACCATCGCAATGGTCGGCAATCGCCATGCGAAGAGGTCGTGCAGTGGTTGGAGGAGAATCTTCCAACAGACTGGACAGCGTGGGTTTGGAAGCTCAATGCCATGAACCTGGGACTGCCTCAAAACCGCTCCAGGATATTTATCTCCTGACGCAACGGGCGTTTATTTTGATCACCGCGACCAGAGTTCTCGCCCGAGAACGTCATGATTAGCAGACCTCCATTGCGGAGTTTTCTGAAGGTGGACGCACCAGCATTCGACAAGAACAGGTTGACCGACAAGGAGAAAGAAAACTTGTGGCACTTCATGGAGAAACTGGAGGAGGTGCGCCCCGGGATGGATGATTGGGCAGTAGCATGCCTAGACATCACGAGATCGTTCAGCGGAGTGTGGACTCCGCCATGTCGATTCGACGACGCGATCGTCTGCTTGACCACGTCTAACCACAAAATTTGGTTGCAGAGCGTCTCTGCTCCATGGATCAGCCGCTTCCTATTGCCCGAAGAACGTGCGTCTATCCAAGGCTTGGATCCCGCCATGGTGTCGCTATTGCCAACCGCGGGGGTCAGAGTCACTGCCATGGGCAACGCCATGTCGCTCCCCGCGGTCGGCACGGCCATCGCCTTCACACTGCAAGGGTTGACGGGAAAGCCTGATGTTCGATGAGCGGCACTTCGGACTACAACAGTTTCGCAGCTGTGCATGCGACCCCGTGCTTCATTCTATGTTCATAGTTGCACGTCGTCGCTCTTTAGTTTTCTCTCGAGCCGTGCTGCGATTTGACATTTCGCCTGAACCTAAGAGCAGGTTCGAGCGAGCACGTGGCATGATCTCGATCTCAGGTGTAATTATGTTCTGAGTTTTTCGGCCTCCCACCTTGGGATCTCTCTTCGCGTTGGCCTCTCCATGGGTCCCGTGGCTCTCGGGGAAGTCTACGTTATTGTGTCATTGCCCTGACTGTAGAACGGGTGGTCTGTAAAACAGGTGGTCTGATCTCCCAGTGATCCCAGGTGCGAGCAAGGGGGAGGGCAGCAACGCACCGAAAAAAAAAAACACATTATAAAATAGGTGGTCTGATCTCCCAGTGATCCCTGGTGCGAGCATGGGTGAGGGCAGCAACGCACCAAAAAGACGCTTCGCGTTCCGTTCTTGGGTTTCTTGGATGGGCGTTGCGGGCTACTCTCGGCGTCAAAGGTCACCTTGAGCCACAAGCGTGTTCCTCCTCCTCCCTCCTCCTCCTCTTCCTCCTCCTCTTCCTCCTCCTCCTCCTCCTCCTCATCCTCCTTCTCCTCCTCCTCCTCCTCCTCCTCTTCCTTTTTTCTTTGACCCCTCTGGGAGCTTTTGGTGGCCCCGGGGCGGCCCCCAAGAGGCCCCCAAGAGGCCGTCAAGGGTCCACAAGAGGCCCCCAAGAGCGCCCAAGAGACCCCCAAGAGGCCCCCAAAATCATGTTGGAAAAAAAAGGAAATCGAAATGTTCTGAAATTTCGCAGGGCCCTTTGCTTGCGCCCCCTGTTTTAACACTTTGTGGCGCGTCGCCGCGGCATTTTTTGGCTCGCGCACGAATAATTATCCCGCGCCCGCCTGCAGAGCGTCCAGAAAATCGGTTGCTTTGGATGGGGAAAAAACCCACAGTTTCAGAATGCCCTGGGGGGGGGGGGCACGGGCGGAGGACACGAGGCGCTGCTGGCGCTGGACGCGACCGAACCACCCCAGAACGGCCCAGCGCCAGCGCCACTCGGAGGATATGGCCCCCGCACGTCGGCGATTTTGGTGTCCTTTTCTGGCCCGCGATGTCCCCCCAAGAAACGGCCATCTGGCTTCAACTGTTTCCAAAACGCACTTGGGGGGTTTTCTGGGCCTGCATGCGTGCTTATGGGGGCCGCATGCTGAGCTGAAGCCTAGGCCATGTCGGGGGCCTCTCGCGGCGGGCGCTTGGCGAACACATCGATGCGCGCGCAAGAAATGCATGAAACTGAATGCGCGACTACGCGGTTGAAAAATGAACGACTACAGCGCGACGAGCGGAACAAACATATGCATCACAACGCTGCAAAAAAATGCATGGCTACGCCGTAAAAAAATACAAGCCTACGTGGTTAAAAAATGAATGGGTCAGCCGCAGAAAAAAAAGCATGTTTTTTTGTGTTTTACAACTTGCCAAAAAAGAGCTTCTGCCAAAATTATGAATGATTTACCCTCTGGGTACCTGACGCCCAGCGGAAAAGGGGCAGCCGTTCTTCGGTGCCCTTTATCCGCTGGGGATGGTGAGCCTGGAGCCGCTCCATCGCCGTGATCGGGCAGAGCGTCGTGCCGGCGCGGTAGTGGTTCCTCACCGTCCCGACGTTGAGCTGGTCCGTCTTGCTGCCCTTGATGTAGATCACCATCTCGTCGGCGTCCTGGAAGCTGGCCACTCGCTTCCCTTCCTTCCTGGGCCCCACGTCCTCCCCGTGCAGCACGCGCTCGAAGGACCACGAGCTCCCGCCCTGGAGGAGGTACTCTGAAGCCCTCAGGAGGAAGAAGAACGCTGTCACAACGGCCGCCCAGATGACCACTGCATCCTCCTCGGGGAGCTTGGCTTCCTGCTGGAGAAAGCCGCGGGGCCATTCGAGCATGGCTGGCGTGACGGGCTTCTTCCGCTTGGTCTCGGGCCCCTGCCAGCGTTTCAGCCCTGCCAGCGTGCTCCAGAGGCGACCCCTGTGGAGCAAGGGATCCGAGTAGCCGGCCACCAGGTGGGCGTAGCGCACCGCGAAGAGCTTCTGCTTGATGGCCCCCTCGGTCCTCCCGACGACCCGCGCTAGGAGGACGGCGAAGTTGATGAGCGCCTCCTCGTCGGCCAGGCGTTCCTCGCGATCACGTCCTGGGAGCCGAGGGCTAAGCCCTTGCGCCTGGCGCACGGCTACCCAGAGCCGCCATCCTCCCTCGTAACCTGCCCTTGTGCCTTCGCTGAGTTTCTGCAGCATGGCCTCCATCTTCTGCTGCGCGAACCAGCCGGCGTAGTTGACCCCGCCAGGCTCAGCACGGCCGGCGGGGGCGAGCTCCTTCCCGGGGTAGTTGTTCTTCCGCGCTACGCCCAGCGCTTGCGGCCTCACCAAGTTGGTTTCTGGCATCTCTTTGGCACGTCGAGGGCTCTTTTGTTACGAGGGCTCTTCGAGCGAGTTACACTTCTGTCTAGCTTGACCTTCTCTGCGGCCGGGGCCTCGCGGGGCCCGATGAGCGTGTCCTCGTCGATCATCTTGTAGCGGACTGCCTGGGCACGCCGGCGATTCTTGTGCATCTCGTCGGTGAGCGCCCCTCCTGCCCTCGCCTCATCCTCTGCTGCCAGCGCCAGCGCGGGCTGATCCGGTGCCTGTGCCCAGGCGCGGAACCAGCGCTTGGTGGCATCCCACGCGGCCTGCTCCTCTGGATCATGGCATACTCCGGCACGCTGCGTACTGGTGTTGTCGAGTGCCTCTGCCACCGCGGCCAGCACCGCCTCCGCGGTCCTCGGCGGGAGCGCCCTGGCTGCGCCCTTCAGGAGCTCGTCCTCTGTGGAGCCCTGGGTCCGCAGGTGGGTCCACTCGTCGTTGGTCCCTCCCTGCACTCGCCAAACCTCTTGGGGCGTCAGGGCACGGACCGTGCCCCCACCTCCTCCGGTGACACGGAGGAGCGTCGCTCCGGGTCCTTGGAGTTCCGCCCCTGGCCAGCGGATGGTGCCCACCGGCCCCTCCTCACTGCAGATCAGGTGCTTCACTCCATCCTTCTTGAGGTGCCCGACTGGCTTGAGGAGGAGGGGGTCACTGGTGGACTGAATGCGGGGGTCCCACGACACTTCGCCCTGCTGGTCGAGCCAGAGGTGGTCCTTTCCTTTGTCCAGGAGCGGCTTGACGCCGGCAGTTCGCGAGCAGGCCGGCGGCATGCTAATGCACGCCAGGCCCGCTCCCGCTTTCCGACGCCCGCCCGTGAGCACCTGCCTGGTCCGCGTGGTGGCGTCCCCGCGGTGCGTGCAGACCACCTCGAACTTCGAGATCATGTAGCCCAGCTGCTTGAGTGCCTTTTCGAACCTGGCCGTATCCACTCCGGTAGGGGCGTCCACGACCACCAATTCAGGGCTCTCCCGGGTTGCTGCAACGAGGAAGGCCTCCATCTCTCTACCCTTGGGGTCCAGGGACAGCGACGCCATGAGCCATCCTGCTTTCTGGTTCTCCTCGGGCTCCGATCCCCCGAGGCGCTTGAAGGCCTTCGTGTACGGGTTGATGAGGCCCCCCACTTCTCTGCCCAGTTTCCCGCGGAGCGGGAGAGTCCTCGGCAGCCCATGCCCTCGCTGAAGCGCTCGGTGTCGAAGGGCAGCCTCGGCCACGGGGCCCGTCTCCCCTGGGAGTCTGAGAAGGCGCTCCTTGGCGTCCTCCAGTATCTGGCCCCAGGCTGCGGGAGGCTCGAGGCGCTTCCAGCCTGAAGTGGCCAGCGTGTCGTGAATCTTCTTGACCTCTTCGCGAGTAAGCCAGTCGGCTACCTCGTTGTGGTAGGTCCTAACAAAGAACGAGACGATGCGGCACCCGTGCATGGCTTCGATCCTTTCCACTAAACGGATCAGGTGGCGGGCGAGGGCGTTCTTGGGGCTTCTCTTGGTGAGCCATGCCTTCACATTCTGATTGTCCGTAACGTAGAACACCAGCTCGCCTTCCCACTTCGAGCCCTGCTTCGTGGCCAACGCGACCACCGCCAACAGCTCGACCACCGCGATGATCCAGTTCTCCTCGCTGCTCTCGCCCCCGACCGCGTGACTCAGCATGAAGGCCGCTGCACGGCCCAAGACTCCTTTTCGGGGTCGCAGGCGTCGCGAGATAGCGCCGCGGACAAGCGACTTTGCCACGCCTGCTCGGCGAACATATTTTGCGCCACCTTGGCAACCAAACGCCGCGTCGAAAGCAAGCAGTATCGCCCTTCAATTAATTGAAAAAACGCGCCTGACGTTGCGGCGCCTCTCGCGCGCGGCTTGGCTAGCAGAGCAAGGGCAACCGATGCCGGCGCCAACGCAAGCGCACTTCGTCTGCATCTGCGCAGCTGTCGCGCGGCGACGCGCGGCCGCGCGGCCGCGCGGCGGCGCGGGCGGGCCCCGCGCGGTAAATCAGAACCGAAAGACGAAATGACGCCACGCGCGATGTCGAGTTGACCCCCCGACGTCGGGACGCGATGTTTGTTGTTCGCGCGAATGCGGCCGCGATGCCGCGAACAAAGCGTTTCGCGCGCGCCGCGCCGGGCAGGTCGGTCGCGACCTCCCAGGCGGAAGAGGTCCGAGCATTGAGGGCCGAGGAGGGAATAAACCATGCAAGCGCTGCCACAAGCGACAACGAGAGAAAACTCAGCCCAAGCCCGCTCGATAGGCAGCGGCACGAAACGAAGCGCAGCGGGCCGGGGCAAATTGGCGAAGGAAGCGGGCGCAAACGGGGGAGGCCTGGGCCTGGGCGACCTGCGCCCTGAGCGCCAAGGGAACTCGTGGACCCGACGGCGCGGCGCGAGTGAAGCTCATCAACGGGGGAAAATGCACTCGCCGAAACGGCGGGGGCATCGCCGCAGCCATTCCGAGGTCGCGAGAACCCCCGTCGCGACGCGTCTTCCGCCGCAGCGCGTGCGGCTCGCGCGCGGGCGAGCGCGCGCGTTCGCGCGAGCGCAAAAAGTCGCTCGCGCGTGAAATCAACGCCGCGCGCAGTTTTGCGCGCAGTCCGTTTATTGCCCGCCGTTTTTTTTTTTTTTTTGTTCCTCCGACGGCCCGACGCGCGGCGCCATTTGCCCCCACTTGCCATCACTTTGTCACCACTTTGTCATCACTTTGTCCGCAACAAAGACGCGCGACAACCCTATTTGTCATCACTTTGTCACCACTTTGTCATCGCTTTGTCATCACTTTGTCGCAAGGTTTGTCTCCGTTCCCCTTCCAAGCTGCGAAACCCCAAATGTTTCCTTCCGCGCATCGATCTGCGGCCCGCTCAGGCAATGCCGTGCCAGCAACCGCGGGGCCAACGCTACAAACGCAACGCGCGATCTGCGCGTTTGCTGAAACTGGCCTGATGTCGCGCGATGCGGTTTGCCGCCGCGCCTCCAGCGAGCTGGACAACTCGGGAAAGAATTCGCGTCGTTCACGCCAATGCAGCCCCGCTGGGGTCGTCTGGGACCCCCCCCCAGCCTGCGCCCGCGCGCGCCCCCCCAGCGAGCCTTGGCGGCGCAAACTTCAAGCCCGCCCCGCGACCCCCTCGCGGGGCGCCTGATTCAAATGCGACGCGGTCGGGGGTGCCCTTGCGACCTCAAGCCACCGCAGGCTGCTCGTAACCTTTTCTCGCTCGGTTTCCCGCTGCGCGCGCTCGCCCCCCCGCCCGCTATGGCCCCCCAATTCCTCCCCCTTCCCGCCCCTGCCCCCGCCCCCGCCCGCCCCCGCGGGCCTGGCGGGCGGGGCGGGCCGCGCCCCCTACATCGCATTGCATTTTGCACCCGCGCCGTTGCCTTGCATCGGCAGACGCTGCGTTGAACTGGGCGCGGCGCCGCCGCGTGTTCGGCGCGTCTCCGCCCGATGCGTAGCGCGCCATGCCCCCGTTCCCGTTCCAGCGCCTGCTTTGTATCTGGTTTCGTCCGCGCAGCCGACGCGGGCCCCGCCGGCGCCCCGACCCCTGCGCCCCGAATGCTTCTTCTCGTGCAGATGTTCCGCCTCCTGTCTCGGCATTGCCTCGGGGCGACGCCGCTGGCCGCTCGGGGGCTCGCGCGACCCTGGCGACGACGGCGGTGGAACTTCAGGGAGCTCGAAGCCCGCCGACGCACGGGGCTGCGCGCGGCGCGAAGCCAGGGCCGACGACGCGGGAAATAGTTACTTTTACGGCGGGTCTTGGGGGCAACAACGGCCCTCATATGACTCAGGGCCTCGAGCAGTGGTCCGGCGTCCGCGGCCATGTACTCCGGCGTCGGCGCGGCACCCTCTGCGGTTGCGCTCCCCCAGTCGATGGCGCCAATCGAGGAAGTGGTAGCACCTCCACCTGTCCACCGCGTGGTACGCGCTGTTCCTGGCAGTGCGAGGCGTTCGCGCACCGACAGAGCTTGCGTGAAGCTGGCCTGGGAGGTCGTGCTCCAAGCCTCAGGGACGTCGAAGAGCATCCTCAGAAAACCCACCGACGCGTCCCACTCCTCCCAGGCGAGCTCGACTTCCTCAGGCGTACCCTTCGGCTCTGCCCAGCTCGTCCCGCTGCCCAGGAGCCGATCCAGGGCAGGGAGCTCGGGGCGGAGGGCCGGCTGTGCTGAGGCCCAGAACTGGGCACAGCCTCGCAGCTCTTGGGCGACCTTCAGGGGGGCCCGCCTTGATCCCCTGAGCTCCGGGAGGGCGAGCAAGTACTGGGCCTTGATGCACTTGGGTTCTGGGAGCCTAACCACCTTCGTGTCGAAGTTCATGTGGAGGCCCCAGATCAGCTGCTCTGCGGCAAACTCCCCCTCGACGTCCAACTTCTCCTCGTTAACTGCGTCCGGGCCCCAGACTCGCTTCGTGGCCCCGTCGAGCTCCTCGGCCGAGAGCCAGGGTCGGAGGCCCACCAGCGGTTCGAGGGCAACCCCGTCGTCCATGAGCCACTTGGAGGCGTACTTGACGGTATCGTTGATCCTGGGCGCCGGCGGCTTCCTCCTCTCGTGCTCGCTCTTGGCCGCCCAGGCGAACGCCATGTGCTCGCCGGGGCTGCCGGCCCAGCCGAAGACCAGCACGCCGTGGATCAGGATAACTCGCCCTGGCACTCCGACCTCCTTGCCCGGGAGTGTCGTCCCGAACTCGGGCACCGCAGCTGGCTCCAGGTGGTGCCACTTGAAGGCCCTGGCCACGTCGCGCTTCGCAACCACCTGCTGGACGCCCGGGTGCCTCGCTTCCCACCAGAGGCTGAGCCGCGCAAGCCCCCTGTGGAGGGGCTGCTTCGCCGGTGGGTGCTGCTCCTTCGGGGAGAAGGCGTTGGCCGCCCGCATGTCGTGGATCGGCCGGCCCTCCTTCGAGATGGTCCGATCCGGCAACATCTTGGGGACCCTCCCGCTGGGCGACTCAACCAGCGCCGAGGCAGCGAGCACATCCTCGACCTCGTCCGAGGCCCAGAGGACGACGCCGTAGCGGCTGTCCTTCCAGGCCTTCTCGAACATCTCCAGCGCGTGGTCCACGGCCGAGGAGTGCGACTTGGCCTGCGTGCGTGCCCGCTCCTCCGTGCGCCGCACGGGTACTCCTCCGGTGGCCATTGCCCGGAGGTAGGCGGCGTGGTGCGGGTCCAAGGACTTCTGCACGTCTTCCTGGAGCACGCCGCCCAACGGGTTCCCATGGATCTCCTCTCGCGCGTGCTTCAGCAACTCGGCCGCTCTCTCTATGCTGCCGGCGAGACGGAGGAGTGAGTTGCCCCGCTTCACGACCTCTGGCACCTTCTCGGGCTGGAAGGCAGGGTGGTCCGCGCACCACTTGACGTAGGCACGCGCCTCCTCCTGCGCCCTCCCCCCGCTTGGTGCCGCCGGCGCCTCCCCCAAAGGGGGTCCCCCACAGCGGCCCCCCCGTGGAGGGGGCGGCCAGGGGGGCGGCATCATCGGCGGCATGCCAGGTGGTCTGCAGATCTGCCCTGGGAGGAGTGGGCGCCACCCCGGAGGCCTCAGCAGTGGTCGGACTGCGTGGTCTGGGGGCACGAGTGGCCCTGCTGGATCGTCTTGGCGGGGTCTGGGCTGCGATGGCTTCCCCTTGGAGGTGGCGCGCAGCTGGGCGCCCAACGATCTCGGCCTGGGCCTGAGTGTGGGCGCCTCCCCAGACGTCCCTGCGCTGCCGGCGTCTGCCCTCCCGGTAGGGGGGTCTCCGCTGGAGGTCGTCGACCTGCCTGCGGCCCGCCTGGCTGCTTCCACGACCGTCTCTGCCGAGCGGCTTCGCCTCGTAGGCGCTGCCTTCTGGGGGATCGTGGCGGGGAGTCTGCTCTTCTGATGCTGGGCTGGGTCCGAGGGGATCTCAAGTGCCTCGGGCGGCGGTGGTGCGCTCGACGGTGGCCTTGCGCCTGCAGCGGGGGCAGGGCCTCCGCTGCCGCTGGCCTCAGGAGAGCTCTGGAAAGGCTCCTCCCTGCTTCGCCTGGCTGCTTCTGCTTGCCCAGGCCAGAGGCTCAGAGGATCTGGGTCCTCTGGGAGGGGGGGGGCATGGTTCCTCCTTGGTCCTCGCGTACGGCTTCTCCACCACCTCGTCCTCCGAGCTCTCGGCGGAGTCCGCGCTGTCGCTCGGAGGTTCCTCCTCCGCCTTTTCGTGCACGATCCTCTGGCGCTTCCTCGCGGGAATGTCGTCCAGCTCCCCTGCCTTCACCATCTTGCGGGTCAGCCTCTCGAGGATGTCAACGTACTCGCTCGCGATCTCGCCCTGCTCTTCGCAGGGAGTACCGGTCCAGCTCCGCGGTATATCCTCGAACATGGAGCTGATGCCCTCCAGGAGCTCGCGGGCTTTCCTCCTCCGGTCGGGCCCTGTGGGATCGTCGGCCGAGACCCCGAGCAGGTTGTTCAGGATGCACTCCGCTTCGTGGCACTTGTTCCCCCCGTCCAGGATGGCCGAGGGCTGTGGGGTCTCGCCCTCCCAGGCTGGGTCAAGAGGGGTGGCCGCGCTCTGCCCGCTGGGGGGTTCTGAGCTGGCCCGGCGGGGATGCCCGGCTCGCGCCTGCTCCGCCTCGCGCTTGCCGGCGCCCCTCGCACGACGGGCCCGGCGGCGTTCCTTAGCCTCTGCCAGCTGTATATGCAGCTCCTTGATGCGCTTCTCCTCCTCCTCCTCCAGGACACCTACCTCGGCGGCTCTGGCGGCTTCGAGCTTCCTCCTTATGCTCTCCAGCTTAATGCTGTCGGCTGAGCTGCCGCCGCTGCTGGACCCTCCGGCGGGTGCCTCGCGGCTTTGCCTCTGGAGGGCCTGGGCAGCAGCTTGCTGGAAACGCTTCCCTCCCGAGTTCGGTGGGGGGGTCCGCCTGTTCCAGACAACGCCAAGCTCCGGGCTGCCAAAGCCCTGGGAGCTGGCTCGGTCGGCGATCCTCAGCGTGACACTGCGGT